GAAACTGCACATAAGCGTTAAAAGGAAAATAACATGGAAAGGGGTGGGGACCTGGGGTTCGAACCCAGGTCCCAGGGATTGCCACTAAGATGCTTTGCCAACTGCTCCACTTGCTCACTTTGTTTATATAATAAATAACAATTAATATAAAAGAAAACACGAGTTAGTGCTCTTTTCGCGCGAAAAATTTGAATCAACCAATTACTGATGGCCACTTCATCATCTTCTTCGTGGTTTTGTTTCTTCCTGAAAATACAAAAGGGTTAGCGGGGGTTTTGAACCCCCCCAAAATAGGCCATATTCAATAATAGCGATTAAGCCATGGTAGCACATAAATTAGGCGCGAGGGTTGATTTATTTTCGTCCAGGCACACTGAATTCATTCATGGTATTGGCATGTCCCAATTTTACCATATTCAAAAACCCCTAATTCGAAAGCTGAAGAACCCTAATATCCAACAATGGTGAAATCGCGTATGGGTGATAAAAATGCAATCAAACAACTGGGTTAGCTTCAGAATCATTCAAGAAACATAAATCAAACATTAAAAAGCATTGAAAACGCATGAATCATGATGCAAGTATATGAAAAAATTTCTGTACAGGGTGCGATCGTTCTCACTTTTCTTGGTGTTAAAGCTTATGGTTTTGATTCCAATTCCTTCCTTGAAGCCTCAGCAAGCCAATGGAATAGTTGTTTGATCTTAAAAAAACCTAAAACCTAGTTTTCAGTTTTCAATTTTTAAGCAAAAAACCCAAGTGTGGTTTTCTGTGTATGGCGCAGCTTGGAGTCTCTGGGCACGAGGGTTCGCTTGCCTATATATGTATGAATGATTTAGGTTAAGAATTTGATCAAAAAAATCCATGAATTGATGAAACAATATTTGATTTTTATGGCATTAGTTTTCAAATCTTTTTCATGCAAACTTAGTCCAAATCATGTTCAATCACCAAGATACTTTCCAAATCTGATTATACACAAAATCTTGAGATTATTTTGTGCACAAAAAGATTCAAAAAGTTAGGTTTAGTATTTTTTACCTATTTATTTTAATTAAATGAATTATTGATAATTAAAAATCCAAATAAATAAAATAAAAATGATAAAAACTTCCCTTTGGGCCAAATGGTCGTGCACATGCCTTGGATGATGAATTGTGGAAGAAAAAGAGGCCCATTAGCATTTTTAGGTCATTTGAATCAATGTTGACTTTTCAAAATATCCAAAAATTTCCCAACTTCCTCAAGGCATAACTTGCTCAATTTTTAAGCTTTGCTCATGTTCTTGGACATTTTGGAAAGGTCTTTGAGTCCTCTAACCAATGTCTTTGGTCCCATGTCATTTTGATTTACCAATATCAAGTTATGACCTTTGACTTAAAGTCCCTTTTTGTTGACTTTTGAAAATGACCTATAATGTTGAAATTGATAACTTTTTGTGAGACCATTTTTTGGACTTGAAGTGTGAAGAGGAGTTGTAGGAAATGTCTTGATCTTCAAAATGAGCTTTGGATGGGATTTTTCTGATAATCCATGTGAAAGTTATGCCCTGGTCAATTTACAGTTGACTTTTTCAACTGTCCAAATATGGAAACTTTTGCATCTTGATGATTTTTGAGCCAAGCTTTGAGAATCATGATCAAGCATTGATCAAATGATGTTTGTGGCTTCAAAATGAGATGTTGACCAAAAATTTGAACTTTTGACTGTCAAATGACCATTTTGCCCCTACAGTTGACTGTAGTGCAATTAGGGTTTTTGACTGTGCAATTTTGTGTTGTAAGTCTTGAAACTTGGTATGAGGATACTTGACCATGTTTATAAGCATGTGGGACTTGATTGAACCCTTGGAAACTTCATTTACTTTGTCAGAACCAAAACCCTAATTTTGACTGTTAGGAGGCCCTTGAACTGTGCAACCCTTGGGGAGATTTTGAAGCTTTGACTTGGCAATTCTTTGAAGAATATGGGAGGGAAAATTTTGGGGTACAACAGGCGGGATGTCATGTATACTAAGTGTAAAGTCACTTAAAAACTCCAAAAGTTCTTAATATTATTTTTTATCCTTGTTCATGCTTAATTTCAAAACATAGTTTCTTGAAAAATCAATCCAAGTAACAATTTCCTTACTTTTTATCAATTTTTATCACTTGCTACTTTTAAACATAAATGTATACTTGCATGTGACACACTTTCAAGCAACAATATTCTTGTTAGTTTTTTAGCTCATGGGCTCATATGGAATTATTTGTTTATGGTTTGTTATTTGGTTTTTAGACGCAAAACAAATTGATATCTCTTTATGATGTTGTCAACTGGGAGAAGTTGTAATGAAGTCTATAATTATTTTATGAGTTTAATGTCGTGGTTTGTATGCAATGTTTTAGGAGGGCACGAGTATTTTTGCTTTTGGCTCAAAATCAACTTAATTCCAAGGGAAAGCTTTCCAAGCATAAAAAAAGGGGATAATGTAGTTGTATGTCCCTAACACATTTAGGGGGAGCACCCATAATACAATTATTTTGTTGTTTGTCTTTTTACTTTCATTCATTATTATTTATTGAGTCTCCTTTATAATTGCACACCTCTGAATCAAGTTCAAAACAATTCATTATTTGTTTTAGCATGTATAAATCAATAGTTACACTTGAGTTTGATCATGATGCTTTTAGTGAATTACATGAGTTAGTGAAATAATAATCATATGTGTTATTGATTCAAGTTAGGTGGAAAGAAAAATCTCAAAGTATTTTGAAAACTATGAAAAATTGAGATTTTATGTGTTTGATTCGAATCAAGCACATATCCTGACTTGAATCAAATTAAATAGACGAAAACCAAAGGTTTTCAAACAATTTGATTCCAACCATAATTTACACCTTATTCAAATCAGGCTCTTCCTGGCCGCCTCTACTTGATTTGATTCGAATCAGACTTTACACCTAATTTGAACCAGACATTTTTTCATCATTTTTCATATGACTCTATTTTAATTGATTCAAATAAATATTTACACTTGATTTGAATCATGGGGTCTTTGATTCAAGCCAAACTTTTCTCTTGATTCGAATCAGACAAAAAATGGGTAAAAACTCTTTTTCCTTCTTATTCCACTTCACTTGCTCATTTGACTCAAATCATGAAATTTTTTTTAGTCGAATCCAACTAATTTTTTCCATCCATTTTTGTGCTTAATCTCAAGCACATATACAATTATTTTGTCATCATTTTTCATGTGTGAATCTCATAATCAACATTGTGATTTTTTGTGAAACCAATTTCCTCTCACTTTTGAAAAATGTCAAATCCCTTGCTACAAAATTCTTTCTTCTTGAACCTTTGTTTTGATTTTAGATCTTGATAATGAGATATTTGTAATTGATTGAGGGAGACGCCCTCTTGAAACTAATCATTCTTGAAGACTGAGTAAAAAATTTTAAGTTCTTGCAAGATCAATGTTGTTGTCATTGGCGCCGACAAATCCAGTGAAAAGAAGGAGGTTTTTCTCTTCAAATTAACTTGGTAGTGGCTGTGTGGAAGACTACGAATAAGGTGGAGTTCTTCTCAAATCTTCAGACAATTTATCGCTCAAGGAATCAGTAGGATCAAGGGGGTGATTTCTACACACGAAGGCATGTAGCATATTGGTGAAGCTGAAAGACTCAAGAAGCATTAATCGAGTAAAAATTACACATAAGAGTTTGACATTATGATGTATACAAGTCAAGATCTAGATAAGAGATTTATATTTCACAATATTATTGTGGATAAGTGATTGTATGAACTCTTGCAATATTTGTCAAAATAAAAATGAACAAAGCAGGTTCGAATTGAAAATCATTAAAGAGTTCACATAGGCAAAACGAGGACGAACGTCAAAGTACTATAAATCCTAGTGTCTTCTTTCTCTCTTTCTTTTACTCTTGCATTTAATTTTTTTAGGATATTGCAAGCTTAGGTTTTTCAATTCTTAGAGTAGTTTATCATTTATTCAGTTGGTAACAATTTATTACGTAAGATTATGTTTTGTTAGAATTGGAACTTGATCGAGCTTTAATGGTGATTAAGTTCTAAAAAACTGTTGAGTTTAGAATTCGTAGAAATTGAATCGCTGCATAATCACGCCTCATGAAGTATACAATTAGTATCAATTGAATACCTTTATGTATCATCATTAAATTATCTTTTATATTTTTGAGGTGATTAAGTGTTCACGTGATCAACGTTTTATAATAATATAATTCTTATATTTTCGCTCTAAAATCTTCCACGCACAAATTCTCAAAAACCTCTAATAATCCATTTTGGAAAATTGGTTGAACTTTTTGTTTTAGTCTATTAACCTCTAAATTATTTTCTTTACTCCATATTCTCACCCAACACTATATTCTTTTGTTTTTCTATTTATTCATTTGTTTTTTGTTTATTTGTATTCACTCGTGTTCTTTTGTTTATTTTACTACTTTTTTATATGTTTTTATGCTACTTTATTTGCATTGTTGATAGATCTAAAAACAAAAATAAATTAGTAATTATAATAAAGATAGAAAAGATAAAATAATAAAATAAAAAGAAAAAATATAAAAGAAAAATAAATTTAATTTAAGAAAGAAAAGAAAAATAATTTTAAAGTGAAGAACATTTAATAGTTTGCTGGTATTTTTTTATTAATAAGGGGGGGTGAATATAGTTGATAGTTGATTTCAAAAGAAAAGTAAGATAAGGAATATTTTTTAAAGCAGATGAAGTAAAAAAAAAAATGAAGAATTTATTTAGTTATAGCACAAAATTCTTTTAATTTAGAATAATTCAAAAATTGTATCATGTGAGTATTTTGGGAAGTTTTTGAAGGGTTCAAATAAATTTTAACAATTCAATATATATTTTTGGTCAAGTTATTTAGTAGTTTAAGTTTGATTTTTTAAATATAAATAAGTAAGATGGTACCAGTTTGAACACATACTCTTATATATGATGTCTCTTATCAACCAAAAGTTCTAATGTGCTTTCTATCGTCATCGGTAAGATTTACACATAGTATGACGTTATCACACAACCTTCTTTATATAAAAACATTATTCTCTAACCCTTTAACATCTTTTTGTTCCTACAAGAATAAATTATATAAATCATTAACACCTCTTTAAAATCTCACCTTCTTGCAAAGTAAGTGGGCAATTCTCATTTATAGTTAACCATAACTTTACGCAATTTTAACAATGGTGCTTGAACTTTGATTTGTAATATTGAATAATAGAAGAACTTCAACATTAAAAGAGAAGACTAACACAAATAAATAAATAAATATAAAGGAGAAAATAAACATTCGGTAAAAGATAAAATTACAATCTAAAAAGACAAAAAAAAAATTGATATTAGATCAAATATATAAATAGTTTATTTATTGAAATTATAATATTTAAGAATAAAATCATTACTAAAACTTAAAAAAATATAATTATTAAAAAAATAAATTAGATATATTAACAAAGATAGTTTTATCATTTACATTGTTTACTCATATTTTTCATTAAAAAATTGAAATTACTTCTTAAGTATGATTTTATTTTGTTCATGTGAAAATATTTAATTATTTATGTATTTTTTAGAGGGTTTTTTTTTTGTTAATTTATAAGTTTTAAAATATTTAAACCATTTTTATTAAAAAATAATTGTTTGTCAAGTTAATTTTCATCACTTACAATGTAGATTCTACTTAGCAAATATAAAGTGTTTATAAAAAATAAATTAAATAATATTATTTGTAGTTTTATTCGGATTAAATATATAATAAGATAAATATTTATTTAATTCTTATTATATTTATTCAACTCTAAGTTTTATTATTTTTATTTTTCATTCTATATTTATCATTAATTAAACTCTAAACACATGTGTTTACATTTTAAGAAAAAAATCTATTTTTTTAAAGTTACGTCATTAAAAAAATATTTAATTTAAAAATGTAAAGTTAATGATATGTTTGTTTTAGCTTTAAAAAAATAGTTTTTTTTTTGTATTTTTAAAATAACTTTTATAAAAATGTTTTTAAAATGTAAAAAAAAATTATTTTTTTATAATTTAAAAGATACAAATTTAAATATTTTATAACATAAAAATATAATTAAAATTGATTTTTTTTAAAATGATTGTATCTCAAAAATAGTTTTAATAAAAAACTATTTAAAATTGCTACAAAATTAAATAATATTTTAAAATTTTAATAATTCAAAAATAATTATAATAAAATAATATTTTAAAAATAACTATTCAAATTAAATCTTCATTTAAAAATTTTATTATAAAGTTATTAACTTTTTTAAACAAAAATATATTACACTATAAATATTATTTCTTTCTTGTCAAACATAATAAATAAATATTATTTTTCTGTGTAAATTTTATTTTTTTGGCTTTCACACTCTTATTGTGAAGAGCATTATTTTTATTTAGAAATCGTATTCGATATTTTTTGAATTACTTCCTTAACAGAATCTCATTTATCTCAGGAGTATAAGCTATTTGATTTAAAATTTAATTTTTTAATTTAGAAATTTAAATTTAGAAGCTTCCGATTTTTTTTATAAATAATTTTAATAATATCAAATTAAAAGATGTTAGTTCTGATTTTTTTTCTTTCAAAATTTCTATAAAAGAGGTTCTAAAAATTTTAAAATTGAATATAAACTCACCTAAAATTTCCAATCATTTAAAATTGAAAACAAACTCACCTAAAATCTCTAATAATTTAAAATTGAAAACAAACTCACCTAAAGTCTCTCATTGTTAAAAAGAAAGTCATTTTTTAAAAATCTAAAAACAAACTCATTATATATTCAAAGCCAATATTTTATTAAAATTAGATTTTTTAAAAATTAAAATATAAAGAAAGAAAATTTTGTTCAAAAAAAAAAAATATAAAGAGAGAAAATTGCGACGAAAATAGTATAAATTCAACGAGCTTACTTGTTTAACATAACATAATCCTCTTATCAATATAAAGTTTCTTCCTTTTTTACTGTACTTTGATGAAGTGAACGCTTTGCATCAATCTCAGTTTTCATCATCAGGTACACTTTTCTTCTTCAACACATCATCAATTCTTCACTACCCAGTTGCAAATTCCTCTTCAATTTTTTATTTTAAAACAATTTCTTCAGTTTTTCAATGCTTACTTGTTGAATGCTGAATACTGAATATTGAAGCTGATACTTTTCTTTGGTGTTTATGTTTTTGTTACTAGCTTTGAATTGGGTCAGCAGATTGAATTTCAAAGGCCTTTTTGAGATCTTTTCAATAATATTTAAGGTAAATAAGTCAATAGTAGGTTAGTGGGTATAGTCATTTGATTTGAGGGATTTGAGCTATGGATACAGATTGAGGAACTATATGTGCTGTGTGTTTGAGGAAATTTATCTTATTTTGTGTATCTGAGAGAGGCAGGCACAATTGGCCAAACTTCGTGATCGATTGTTGTGTTCTGTGTTTATCTTCTTAATTTAGTATTGGATTTAAGGTTGGTTTTGTTGGAGCTTAATCTTTAGCTATGTCGGAGAAGAGTATGGTTCCCTCTAGGTTAATGTTTTGTGTGATCCTTATTTCTATGTTCCTTTTGGTTTTGTCTTCCCTTTTCCTACTTCAGTTTAGCAGTCATTCTTTTATACCTAGATCAGTTCTGGAGCTTATTATTGTCAATAACTCGTCGTTTTACTTTACACCCAATTTCAAGAGGGAACAAATTGCGCTACCTACTGAATCTTCTGAGGATTTAAGATTTCAAACGTTAAAACCTAGAGAATCTGATGGGAATGTTTCCAATTCGAGCGAGAGAGAACATTCTGTAGAACAAGAGATAAATATGGCATGTGACCAGAATCGGGCTTTATTGAAAGTATTCATGTATGACTTGCCTCCGGAATTTCACTTTGGGTTATTGGGTTGGAAGGGAAGTGTAAATCAAACATGGCCTGATGTGGATAACCCCAGTCGTGTCCCACGTTATCCTGGGGGACTGAATTTGCAGCACAGTATGGAATATTGGCTCACACTTGATCTTTTAGCATCAAAAAATGCTAAAGCTGGTCGGCCTTGTACTGTAATTAGAGTGCAGAATTCAAGTCAAGCAGATATTATTTTTGTGCCGTTTTTCTCTTCTCTGAGTTACAATCGGCATTCCAAGACTCAAGGGGAGGGACAAGTTAGTGTTAACAAAATGTTGCAAGACAGATTGGTACGTTTCTTGAGAGGGCGCAAAGAATGGAAACGTGCGGGTGGTAAGAATCATCTAATTGTAGCTCACCATCCTAACAGCTTGTTGGATGCGCGAAGAAACTTGGCTTCTGCTATGCTTGTGCTTGCGGATTTCGGAAGGTATCCTGTTGAGTTAGCAAATATCAAGAAAGATATCATAGCTCCCTATAAACATTTGGTAGGTACTATACCAAAAGCAGAGTCACCTTCATATGAGGAACGTTCCACACTCGTGTATTTCCAAGGGGCGATATACAGAAAAGATGTGAGTTTTTTTGTTACACTTGTGTTATATCTGATTGATGCACCATTACTTTATCTTGAAAAATGTCTATTGTTGGTATGTGATACAATTTCTTTACCTCCTTTAGTCCCTGGTTTCAATTGTATTATGGTAACGATGTCAAGGTGCTTTAGATTTGTAACTAGGCACGCGACGTTACAGACACAAATACATATCAGAAACCAGATATGTTCTTATTCTGAAGTGTTACATTTCATAGACCATAACACATCCTGTAATATTGATTTATGAAAATCACTGTGTTGACATGTTTTCTGAAGTATCTTCCATGAATACTACTCCGCCTAATAGTTTTAGCATATTCTAGACGTGCCGTGTGAGTTTTTCTTCACTTAAATTTACTAACCATCATGTTGAAACTTTAGGGAGGAGTTATTCGCCAAGAACTGTATTACCTTCTCAAAGATGAGAAAGACGTGCATTTTGCATTCGGAAGCATAGGAGGAAATGGGGTTAATCAGGCAAGCCAGGGCATGTCGACGTCCAAATTCTGCCTGAACATAGCTGGAGATACTCCATCTTCCAATCGACTCTTTGATGCCGTAGTAAGCCATTGTGTTCCCGTGATCATCAGTGATGAAATTGAGCTACCATACGAAGATGTTTTGGACTACTCAGAGTTTTCCTTGTTTGTTCGCGCCGCCGATGCCATAAAGAAAGGCTACCTGTTGAATCTCCTTCATTCAATCAAGCGCGAGGAATGGATCAAGATGTGGGAAAGATTGAAGGAGATTACACATCATTACGAGTATCAATATCCATCCCGGCCCGGGGATGCAGTGGACATGATTTGGCAGGAAGTTGCGCGCAAGATATCTTCAATTCAGTTCAACTCACACAGGAAGAACAGATACAATAGATCTCAGCTTCTTGTCAAGACTAACTGAATTGCTGAGATTGTGTTTTGATGGAATTATTTGACCTTAGTTGCATTCAACATATCACAATGGGAGAGAGATAGACCTTGTTTCTGTTATTTGCATCTAGCAAGCTATGTGCCACTCCCTTTTCACTCTTTTTTTTTTCTTTATGTGTTTTTCATCTTAATAAAAAATTTTAGTATTATTTTCCCACTGTTATTTTCTTATATCAGAATCGGAGAAATTTATTATCTTTCTGGTGGTTTTTATTTTTATAGAAAAAGTAATATAAATATACTATTTTTATTATTATATTATAAAATTTATAAGCTTTTCAGTAAATACATATTCAAAAATATTTTTGGTTAATATAAGTCAAATAAATTTCATTTTGTCAAATGAAAAAATATTTACACAACCAGCCCTGGATATGTAGTAGTGTGATAAAAAATTTTGAGAGAGAATTTTTTGTTGACATTATGGGTCTCTCTTATTCGAGAGATTAGTCTCAGCAGTGCAGTTACACGTTAAAGATATTCGATTACTACCAGAAAAAATAAATAAATAATCAAATTATTGAAAACTCAATTTTTAATTAAAGAAATGCATTTGCAATTGGAATGCGATAGAATATGCATTTGCAAACTTCAATTCAAACACAATCTTATTAAAGTAAGTCATTTAAATCTATTTGTGAATTTTGATATAGATGATTAAATTGCAGTTATTTGATCGAGATCTGTTATAGAAGAAGAAAGAAAAGAAAGAAAATTTCACTATATCATAATCTATCACACATTATCTATAAATATTTCTACACAATCAGAAATGGTGCTTATACAAAGATGAGTTTTCGGTTGCAATTCTTCACTTGACAAACAAACTCAACAAAACTAATAAACTAACCAACATTGGAAGAACATGTGTCATTTCACAAAACACTTCAACTCCTATTGTGAATTGGATCTGACCCTTTTTTGAATGTCCTTTTGTTTGATTGATTAGCATCAAATGTCATTGAAGGTGAAGGTGCCAAATCCATCTTTGATTCCAAACCCTCCACTGCAACACCCTTTAAGACATGAGAAACTTGCACAAGATTTTTGGTTCTCAATCCACATGCAATGTATGAATGAGAAGCTAACATCCCTACACAAACTAAAATTAAGAATCCTCTAAAACATGAGAAACTCATGTTTGAAACAAAACTTCAAAACTCTTGGTTTGAAACAAGGAAGAAAGAAAGTTACTAACCTATTTGTTATTGCTCATGACATGATAATATATATTCTAAGGGATTTTGAAATGTTAAAGCAAAAAGCATAAGAAGCCTAGAACAATATGTAGGGAAGTTTTAGATTCACTTCAATCATAAGCATGATATAGAAGCAATCAAATATATAAAGCTGTTTTAGAAGACTGACAAGTTTGAATAAAAAGTTAAATGGAACAATATCCTAATGGAAGACAAGTATCTTTTCATTCATCAATTTCCCTACATTCCTTTCATTTATCATTTTGTTGCTCTTTTTCACCAAACAAAGACCGAACCTTTGTCTTGCAACACTTTGTTGATCTGCCACGTCATCTTACCTTGTTTACATGTCCATATATGGTTTGAGAAAAATATGATCCTATGATGTTTCATTAAGTGTATTATGTTTTTGGTTGTAAGGTAAAAAAATGGCAGAAAATAAAGCAAAAAAACAAACTCTTAATAAAAGTTTTCTTTTAACATAATCTTTGTTAGTGCAAGCACAACTGCATTTGGATTGAGAGGAAGGGATAATTGAGTGAGAGAAAGTTATGTAAAATGTATTATTGATTAGAGTTGATGAAACTATCAACTAAATGAACATTTATATCCAACAAGTTAATAATTTGTGCAACAAGTAACCAACTAATAACAAACAAACTAACCCCTATGACAAATATAGTTAAAGTATATTACAACATACTCTTTGGCTTAGGCTATAGGTCTCTCACGTAGGAGACTACAGTTTTTTTTTTTTACCTTCTCAAATCAATATGAACCATTGGATTACAAGATTTAACGGTGCACTATCACATACAATATAATACTCATAAATATATTATATATTATATATTATATATTATATATATATATATATATTATATATTAATGAATCATTATTATACTGTGAATTATTATATCATGATGCACTTTATGTTCTCTAATTTTCTCTTCTCTCCTTTGCATCCTACACGTGGATAGGCTAAGAATTCAGTAAATTTTTGGCAAAAACAAATATAAATTATTTAATTTCGTTGCTACATGTTCATGGGTAGTTACAGGATTGAGGTTTGTTTCAATTTTGTTCCATTCCATCACGATTCTCTGCGGCGGTTACTTTCTCCTCTTCACTCCCTTTCCACTTCTCACTGTTCCACTACTGATCCATGATTGCAGCGGTTACTTTCAACATAACAACGTTTTTGATTTCAACTGCCCTACTCTCCATCACGATTCCACTATTTATAACCTCCATACTGACTACTTCTTCCAACACTTAGTCTCCCAGAAATACTCGACTTTCAAGTTATTTCTGCTTCATGCAAGTGACTCTGTTCATGGCTAGACCTGTGGCGAATATCTGCGACATCGATGATAGTAAAGAGCTGTGGAAGGTATCTATGCGAGTGCATCACAAATGGAAAGTGCTGTCTAACAACAAAGAGCATTTTGAGATGATATTTGTGGACAAGGCGGTAATTTTTGTTTTCTCTGCATCTGTGAATCATATGATGTGTTATATTTATTATTTTTTGGTTGTACATTAACCTTTTTTGTGTATCTCTGTTGCACAAGGTGGGGACATACATGTTGTTCCAGCAGCACATGTGACTTTGTTTGATGATAAATTATCATTGGACCATACTTACACGGTATCAAATTTTAAGGTTCAGCCTAATGTGTTGGCTTTTAGACCTTCGTCGCACAAATTTTTGGTCAAGTTTACGAGAGGAACGTCTGTAGGTGATGATAACAAGAATGAGATACTGGCCAAAACATTGGTGTTTATAAAGTTTGCTGTTTTGTCTGCATTGGCCAAAACACTGATGACACATCTACTTCTACCGCTCCAATCTATGGTCCGCACATACCGCCTGATATACCACCTCAACCACATTATTCCCATGATGTTTTGTCTAATTCCGAGGATGATTTGAGTTCGGCTAACACTTCTGATTCTGATACTAACACAAAATAAGAACCATTGCCAAATTCGCATCTGCAAGGTATCTTTGATATATTGTATTAAATTTTAGAGTCAAGTCAAAACTTTACATGTTAAATCTATGAAACAAAGATATTCACTTTGTATTTTTATTATACCTTGGCAGAATATTATAATATAGGAGACCAAATATGGAAATGTCCATGTTGTCAAGCTTGTATGTGGTATCAAGGACGTGCTCAGAAACCGAATAACAAACATGCTCCAAAGTTTCATCGTTGTTGTCGGGATGGTAAAATTGTTTTACCCTTACTTGAGGAGCCCCCAATACTGTTACAACATCTTTTGTATAACAAAACATGTAATGATAATAAAAACTATCAGAATAACATTAGAACATACAATGATCTGTTTTCTTTCACTTTTCCTGGGATGAAATTCGACACAAGATACTCAAGAATAGGAGGACCTCCTACTTTGAGACTGCACGGTCAAACCTGTCATGGGATAGGTACCCTACTACCGGAAAATGGACATCCTCCCCAATATTCTCAGCTATATATCTATGACACAGACAACGAAGTTGATACTAGAATGAAATGTTTTAGGTTTTTCTCACTACTAACCAGTATATAATTTGTTTGTTGCTGCATTTCCTGTATCACTTTTTGTCGTTTCATGCGATTTGCAGGTATAATATAGTGGGAGAACTGACTTTTTTGGTTTTAACCAAATGTGCGGATAGCAAGAGCCGCCACCGAATTTTCTTTTATCCAATATTTAGGAAAGGTGAGAAGAACATGAAAGACCTTTGATAGATTTTAAGTTTGGGGGTAAGTTATGAAAAGGGAAGGTGTTAGCACGTTTTTCACTCGTAGTTATCTACGGGCTCTTGATCGCTAGCTCACTTTTGAAAATTTTCTTTGTATGTGTGTTTTGAAAATATTTTGAAAAAGTCAACGTAAGGCTAACTTTGTAATGATTCTTATATTAGTCCTCAAGAATACGTACAAAGTGTTTTAGAAAATATTTCGTTTGAAAGTGTGATGTGTAAAAAATGTTTTGAGAAATTGTGAGCAAGCGATTAAGAGTTCATTACCTTCTAAAAGTCGTTCTTATTATTTTCCTTCTCCTTTAGAGATAGTGTCATCCATACCATTAGTTGGTAGGTAGCCCTATCTATTGGATGTGAAGGGACAAACGTATGGTCATCGTATGGTCATCAAAGGAAACATGTAAGAATACTTTAGAAATTGTATCAAAGGGACTATCATCATTTTGCTCGTAGGGTCATCGAAGGGACTAGATCACTTTGTAGGAAACTCGAAGGATCATCGAGGGATTATGATCTTTATTCGAAAGGGACCATGATGATATTGTTAAATCGATGGTCTTTTGCTAAAGTATCCCTACTTTCGAGGGTCGTAACCGTTAATCATAAGGAAACAAGAGAGGGTACCCTAGAGGTGCAAGTGTACAAAGTGTTTGTTTTCAGTTATTTATCTTGAGAATTAGGGTTTTTCTACGTTTGGTTATTAGTCTTGCCATACAATCCTAATTATTAGTAGTTATAAAGTATGCAAAAAATAAAGTGCAGAAAATAGAATTCCTACGCTGTTACATGGCTTTGGGACAATTACATAATAGAAGAGTGCGAGAAATTAAACTTATAACTATTACATCCTCGGAGCAGATACATAATTAAAAAAACGCAAGAAAATAAACCTAAGCTATTACAAACGAATAATGCGACCTATACATTTTATCTAAGAATCTAAATAGAAAGAAAAGAAAATATGAGAAAAAAGTTTTGAAAAAAGGAAATATTTTAGTATTTTAGAAAATAATTTTAAGTGATAAAGATAATTAACAAAACCTAAATCTCTAATTGATTTTAATATTTAAAAAAAAGGTTAGTTAGTTTAATTAATTAATTAGTAAAAATAAAAGACAAAATTTAATTGTTAATTAAAACCCTAATCCTAGTTTATTAATATTAAGAAAAAAATAGGTTAATTGATTGTTAAAGAAATAATTAGGGTTTAATAATAATGAGGGTTAATTTTAAGAAAAGAAAAGGAAAATAGATTGGAAAAGAAAACAAGGTAAAAAAATGTATGGGGTGGGTGTTGAACCCACGCCCCCAAGGTTCACAGCCTACATTGCACGCCACTAGGCCAAGCGCCTATTAGTGTTAGGAAATAGAACATGATTATTATATTTGAAACCTTCATGTTAGTCTTGAAAATAACAAAAATAATGTGAAAATGCAGGGATCAAATTCACGCCCTCTCATTCATCACGCACGTCCTTCACCAACTGAGTTATGCCTTCAATCTGTTAATATAACACAACAAAATAATTATATAATAAACAAAACTGGTGAACTGGAGAAGCGCTAGAGCTCTAGCTCTGATCTTCTTCTCCGGCTAGACCTTTTTTTCTGCAAGAATACGCGTGTTAGAGCCCAAGGAGGACCCTATCCCCCTAAATCAACCCTCCTGAATCCAATGGTGATATTATTTTTGGCTAATTCGACCTGCATAACGAGATACAACTAAAATAAAGTAAAATAGAACGATTATCGCAATGGAGTATTCTGGCATTATGGGACTCATGCAAGGGGTGAAACCTGCACTAATTGATCTCAAGAACACGTTAGAATTGTTAGTTTCAAGCAAACTATTATAATTATTAAAATACAAAATTCATGAAATATGTCAAATCGGTAATGCATGGATGCGTGTTTCAGGCACGTTTGGTCATCAAGAATGATCCATACTTACTCTATGGTACCTTAGGAATTGATTGGGATGATTGACTGGTCTTGAGGATGCTTGTAAATAGGGTTTCGACACCTTCTTCTTGCAAATTTTTGGTTACAAACCCTTGTTTCTTGTAGCCTTTTTTCGTGTATGCTTTGGTATGAATATGATGGATATGTATAGATGAAGAGATTATGTCAAAAACATGGGCTTGGACCTCATGTAAAGCA